AGGATTATTATTAAATGTAAATATATTCTCCTATTAAGTTAACATTCCTCCAACTTCAAACATTGAATGCTGTGCAAATAGCAACATTTATTTAACACCTTGAATGTCATGTGACATTTACCCCATAAAATATATGTTAATGTAATCAATAGCAAAAGCAAATGATAGACTCATCAAAGGAACCAATTATTTTGGTCAGAGTTTTTCTCTTGTTAATTTATCAGTAGTTTACCTAGGCACCTCTTTAGAGTTAGGTGATGTTTTAGAATGAATGTTTCTGTCGTGGCTAATGAAAAATACAGGAATTTATAGCTCAGCAATAAATATAGACCTTTCAGAAATGTTTATTGTTCTAGTTCATTAAAATGCTATATCTTTTACACAGTATTTCTTCAAGGCCATAAAATTAATAGTGTATTTTAAAAGTTTTATTGGCATGTATTTCCTAAATCTCATTTAAGCCCTAGTATTTAATTGTGCTGTCTCATACTGGCTGGGAATCTGGCAGTTCATATTATTTTTCTGTTTTAAAAGAAAAACATTTTCCTGCAGGGCTAGCTTCCATATTCTTGAATGTGTTTATATCACACTGCTTTGCATTTTCATGTGCTGAAATCTTGAGAGTCTGTCAGAGCTAATCTGGATCTACTATTTCTTTGTGTCTTAAAATTATGCTGAAATATTCAATTAGTAACTTATCGAGTCCTTGGCCTGGAAGGATACATGAAACTAAAATTCTGTGTATCAGCTACCAGTGTTAAATTTTAAATGTTTCACTAACAAAGCAAAGTAAATTTCATAGAGTATTGAATAGATAGCATTGTATGGGGTATAGGAGCCTATAAGGCTCTGTACCTGTCCTTAAGTGTAGAATGATTCTGACCTTTTCGACTGCATCTTTTATATGTGTACTGTATAGTACACACATCCCTTTACCTTCCTAGGGAACTCACCCTCTCCGCAGTAGCCCTAATGTAAATCTATCAATGCGGTATACCAACACTCCTCCTTTAATCTTTCTCAGTGGAATAGCATTTTGCTCATAGGGTCTTGAGCCATGAGGGCATATATTTAGAGTCTGTATTTGCAGAAAAATTAGACCTCTTAGAGGCATAGTCAAATAACATTCTTGTTATCAGCTTTACTGCCTTTGGTAGACTTTCTTGCTAACTTTCCTTTAAGCCTTTTACTCAAAGGTGTTGTTATGGTTGATACATTGTCTCAACTTGGGGAGTCTAGAGGCTTGGCTAAGTGACTCAGCAGTTCTGTATCCTGGGGTGAAAAGGATATGCCTTTACCCCTCTGGGATGTTGTTCATTGTGTCAATTTGAGAAGTTTAGAAGGTTAACTATGTGTCTCAGCAGGGGGCCAGGGTGCTTACTTGGTATTCATCCTGAGCCTGCACAGGAGGAGAGCATGGAGATTATGTGAGTGCCGCCCCCCGGGTGGGGGGAGCCTGCTTACAATGCAAGGGAGGGAAAGAGGCTTGGTCTTCTCTGCCATTCCCCTTTACTGTTGTTGCTTTGCTGTTTTCCACTACCTTGAATGCTTGTCCTCTGCCATGTGCTACTTTGCCTTGGAACCAGCCCAGTGTGGGCTGAAACCTCCACAGACTATAAGCTAAATAAACCTTTCCTTCCTTAATTTTTGGCCTCAAGTATTTTGCCTCAGCAATAACAGAAAAATAACCAAGACAGGAGGCCATCTTTTTCTTCTTCTCCCTCACCAAGAGCCATCCTGAATAACTTAAATATTTCCTGAAATATTCTCTGGATGCCTTTCTCTCCTCACCCAAAGGAAAACCTTCACCAGATCTTGAATATCTCTGAGACTTACCATCTTTTACAGAGATAGTCCAATACCATTTCTAGTGCTGCCTCTGCAGCCGTCTTTCCCTTTCCTGCCCATTCTTCACACAGTCCCTAAAATCGTCTTTTCCTGCACGCATCTCTATAGACTTTTCCTAGGCCTCAACATTTTGGGTAGTCTTTTGTGACCTAACGAGGTGCGCTGTAGTTTTCCCCCTTTAAGCTCACATTGAAAAAGATAATAAAATGTGGACATAAATTGAAGAAGAAACTTGGACTTGGAAGCCAGTAACCTCTGGCCCGTGTTTACTTGTGATGAATGCGCTAGGCCACTCTCAGAGGTTTTAGCCCAAACTCCACAGCTGAGGTGTCTTATGTAGTATCTTCCCTGCCCCTTTTTATCCCAAAGTACAGCCTGGATAAGTACTGAAGGATGATTAGTTTGGAAGCAAAAACCAGAGATTAGTCAGTGCGAGAGGCAGGAGAGAGGCCTCTGGATGACTAGGCATCACTGTGAAGAGGACCCTCGGAGAAAATGTGTAGCAGAGCCACAGAAATGTCCCACAGCGTAACAGGAAAATGGGAACTTTTTCTACATTCTGTCTCCTATGGATTTTGCATTGCTTCCAAGATCAAATGCTACATTCCCAGACTGTAACCCTTAGGGTGCCTCAGAGACTTTGTGCTTCTGTTTGTAGGCCTGGGTAAGACAAGTGAATTGACCTGTTTCCCCGAGTGCTCTCTACTGCATAGGCCAAATGACATGAAATAGAGCATTACCATTGTCTGATACTCTCTCCCTCTGTACTTCTCAGATCTTACTGTGCCTCACGTGAAGCCCACTTTGTTACTGATTCTTTAAGGAGTAGCTGGTCATGATGTGTTGTTGGAAATGGGGAAAAAAAAAGACTTTAGCCAGAGGGTAAGGGGAGTGACTGCAAGCTAGTCTTAAGTTGGTCCCACAGTTGTGTTTACAGTCTTTCATCTCCCTCCACTGACTAGCACTTCTGCTAGTTTGCCTGGTGGAGTGACGCAGACCCCCTCTCTGAGACCTTGGCTCCCTTACCCTTATGCTGTCACTGCTGTGAGGCTCAGCCTGTTTCATCAGTCATGGAAGCACCACGTGCTGTCCCAGTGAATCCTCAAAGTCCCAGGATCCTCCTATCTGCAGCAGTTTTATTTCCTCATGATTGTTAGGGATGACTGTCCCACTTGTCCACTAACTTTTCCTGTTGGTCTTACAGCATGAAAGGTACAAAGTAACCAGCCAATGCAGAGCTACAGTTGAGCACTTACCTTGTTTTCTAGTTCATTAATTATCTTCAGACTTTGCTTTCAGATAACATTTATCATATATGCTGGATTTTCAATTGTCACTCCTGAGATAAGGGCTGCAATTGGTATCTAATGGGTAGAAGCCAGGGATGCTACTATAATCATACAATGCATGGGGCATACATATATCGACAACAGAATTATCTGGCCCTGCATGATAGCAATGCCAACATTGAGAAACTCAGCCCAAGTAAAAATGATTCTGCCCCCAGAGTGTTTCTATTTCTAATCCCACAAAATCCAGAGATCCACGGTATGTAAGTGAGTCTCTTAGCCTACAGTACAAAGGCTCACTCTACCCATTAGTTACCAGACCTATGTATTCTAGGTACTGGGACACATCAGCAAATAGCATTTATTAGTTTTACATAAACAATATTCTAGAAGAAAGTGTCCCAGAATTCAACAATGTGTGAGAAAGCTGGGACGTTTTCCCATCATGTATTGAGGCTATGGTAAGTCCATGAGGTAGAAAACAGGCATGGTGACATAAGTATACATTACAGCCATGTTGAACCCAGGTAGGTAGAAGGATATACAAGAACCAGAAGCATCTGTTCTATTGTGGAGAATATTCAGAAGCTAAGTACAGGGCCTTTTTTTTTATTGCCACTGTATTGCTAGCACTCTACAAATGCCAGGCACATGCATTCATATAGCTGGCCTAGTAACCATTCTTTGAATAAAGATAAAAACAGAATAAAAAATAAATAAATAGATAATGAATGAATGAATGAAATCTTGCCTGAAATTTTCCTAGTGCATTGCATATTTTAGTGTAGTTACTGATTTCTTCTTAGGTGAAGAACCAGAGGACCTCAAATCTGTGGCCTCCCTAGGGATGTTATAATGTCAGAAAGCATATCTCATCTTTGTTCCTATTGCCTCTGGTGGGGAGGGATTGATTGGCCATAATCCACTTTAGGGTAAATAGTATAATACATACAGATTCAATATTCTCCCTTGCTCCTGAGCAATGATTTAACTGACATATTAATGAAATCATTGAGTTAAATCTCAGAAAGGGGTTAGTATCTCAGTGGGTGAAGGTAAAGTATAAAGGAAGCAATAAATAAAAATCATGGGGATAAAGAATGTGTTCTTGGGCCAAGCATGTTGGTGCACACCTGTAATCCCAGCACTCAGGAGGCTGAGGCAGGAGGATCGTCATGAGTTTTAGGCCAGCCTGGACTACATAATGAGACCCTCTCAACCTGAACTACATATGAGTCCCTGTCTAACAACAACAACAAAAAAAAAATCAAGTGTTCTCAGATAATAGTATCTAAAGTAAAAGAAAATCTTTGAAAAGTAGTTTTACCACAGTTTGACAGGCCTTTCAGACTAAAGCATCTGCATGCCTTCATGAGTCCAGTACTGACTGCTTAAGATGTTCTGGCTCTGCAGTGAAGCTCATGCCCTGTGACGGTGTGCTGCATGCTTCAGTCTCTGGCTCTTCTGCAGAAAATCTGACAGTCTCTTGGCCCTGCACTAACCCTTACTCTTGGATTGGGTTTTTCTAACCACTCCTGTCCACCTAGATGCCTCCCCCTAGCTTTTATTTTTGGCACTTCTTAATTCCCACTCACCTGATGCTTGGCAGTATTTATCTTTTTTCTGTTTTTATCTCCTCAATGACATAAGAAACTTATCAGACAGTATTGTAATTCTTCCTGTGCTCTGTACAAGAAAGCAGAATGCTTTCTGATTACCCTCTCTGTCTGTCTCTCTCTCTCTCTCTCACACACACACACACAGCCCAACACTATTCAATTTTGCTTCCACTCTGCATACTTTTGCTTTGAGTTATTGCTGATGGAATCTTGTTTTTTATTTTTTTTTCGGTTTATTTTCTAGATGGGAAGTGATGGAATTTTACGCCTCAGTACTTCAGCCCTTAATAATGAATTCTTCGCATATGCAGCACAAGGGTGGAAACAGCGACTGGCAGAAGGTAAATTTCAGTTTCGTGTTTTGTGTATTGGAGTAAGCATACTCTACCAAGCTTTCTGTCTTTCTTCCATCTCCAAGGTTTTGTCCCCCTGAAATATAATGCAGTAACAACTCATAAGTGGTTACAGATGACCTCACTAATTTTTTTTGATATACTTATCATTTTTGATGCCAGGTTTTTTTTAAGAAAACATGATATTATCTGGGACATAATAAAAAATTCTGCTATAACATCATATTCTTTGAAATAATTTCAGTTACACGACTTGGTCCATTATCTATTCTAAGTGTCCTGGAGTCTAAAGAAACTTCTTTTAATATTTTCTTTTCCTCCAAAAGCCTCCACATCGTCCTTTCTTTCCTTTACTCACCAAGTTTCTTGAAAGACTGAAATAATTTACGCTACCCCTCTTTCGCTTCTTACACTGAGCAGCTGACTCCACTGTACACATGGGAATACTGAGTGCCTTAGAGTAGTTGAGTGCCTTCCTGTGGCAAACTCGTTTTCTCTTCTCATTACTCATGTGACCTGTTCCTTCTCCAGTATCTCATTTGCATTTTATCCAATTTAGTGTGAAACCATCTGATTTAGGCATTCATAATACATTATAACTTATTTCGTGGGACTACATTTCTGACAACCCTTCCTTAGCTTCCCTCAGGAGCTCCTGTTGGTCCATTTTCTAAGAAGTATCTGTACTGTTTTCTTTTCTAACCATATATATTCTCCAAGCAGCCTTACTCATCTTGATTTTAACTGTTGCCCATATGCCAAGAACTTCCAAGTCTGACTCACTCCCTGCTCCCGATCCCTGCTATCCTATTTTCCAGGGCCCACTGGCTGGTGTCAGGCATTCAAAAGCCAAATACTGAGTATATAATTTACTATTTTTCATTACATATATGCTCTTCCTTCTGCTGTCTCTGTATTATCACCATTGTCCCATGGTTTACAGCCTAAGTGGTATCATTGACCCTCCTTTATCTCCTGAACTGTTAATTGCATCTGATTCCCCTTCACCACTGCCCCTGCTGCTGCATTCTGTATCTCTCATACATTCTCTTCGTGGCCCCCTAGCTGGAGCCCTGCAATTTCTTCACTGGGCTGTCTGCTTTATCTCTCTAAGCTATTTATTGGGCTGTATCTCTCCTTCACTGAATGCACTCGGGCCTCCTTTTATTTCCCCTAGGAACATACAGAAATCTCTTTGGTTCACATGTGCATTGCATAACTGGCCTGAGCTTTTCTTTCCTAATTTACTTTATCCTGTGTTCCATTCATAATTGGCCTCTTGGAAGAACGTAAATAAAAATGCTCCTGTCTTTGCGCCTTGTTATTTAATCACTTTATGAAAGCCTGATCATCTTTCGAAAGCTGACTCAACTCATACAGGCAACCCTCCTTAATTGACTTAGGCAGAATTAAGTGTTTTTCCATCTATACTTTTACTACATATATTATTATTAGGGCCTGAATGGTGCTTTTGACATAATTTCATAAGTCAGTGATGTGCCTTTACTCCCATCAGATTGATTTCCCTAAGGACAGTGAATAGACACACACTTTCATTTGCAGTCCTTAACATGCAGTGCATTTTGCTAAATTTTTTAGAGTTCATCTAAGACAAAATGACTATTTGAAGGATGTTCATAAAAAAGGAAGCTGTAGAAATGTTATCATTATTCATCCTTTTCCTTTTCAGCATCCATAAAAGCATACGGAAGAGAATTAGGTGTTTCCTTTATTAATTGGAAAAAGATGTGACCACTTTTACTCAATGTATTGCCATTTTTTCTCTAGGAGAGTTTACCCCTGAAATGCAATTACGAATAAGGCAAGAAATTGAAAAGGAAAAGAAAACGGAACCTTGGAAAGAAAAATTTTTTGAGAGGTTTTATGGAGAAAAGTAAGTACTAGGGTATTTTTTTCTCATTTTTCTTAGAAGGAAATGAAAATGTGATTCTCTGCTTCACATAGCACACTCATATGCTGTAAAACTTAATAAACCTGTGATAAAAGGCAATAGTCCCTCAGTTTAAGAAATTGCGAGTAAAATTATAGTGGCATATCAGCACTTAAATTTTTAAAAATGCATTTTCAAGGATTTATAACTTGTTCATGAAAATTCATTTTGGACTGAAAATAGCACATAAAATCTTATAGAAGTCAATTTGAGCTTTTGTAGGAGGATTTCAGTACAGTTCTCCTAGTTTTTGTCCAAGTATTTTCATTAATGAGTTCTTTAAAGATAAGCAATTTTAGGTATGCATTCAATTCTTATTTCTCCTGAAAATATTGATTATACATGTCCATTATAATATTAATTTTGTTCTTGTTTTGAGGAGCACCTGAGGTATTATCCTTCACTTTCTCCATCTCCTTTGTCAAATGTAGCTTGTTTTTAATTTATTGCTGATATGTGCATAGTTTTTAAAGGAATACCAGCCACATACCAGCATGATAGTAACTAACCTGAAAGGAGTTTTTAGCCTCTGCCTCATATTTAGCATACGTGTATTTTGCTTGGGCAGAATTAATATATCAGAGAGAATCGGATCACTGGGGTGGGAGGTGAGAGATTTGAGAACTACTGACAGTACTTCTAGGTCCTGCTTAGTAGAGGAATCTGTGCTTTGACCCTCATACCCACAAATAGGACTTCAAAGTTGTTACTTTATGTAAAAGACACACTGAGGTTGTCAAGGCAACAAAACCTGAGCTACTTAATTTCTTCTCACAAAATTTCCCCTGGGAAGGGGTGAAGTTGTGCCAGAAGGAGTCTCACAAGACAGCTTTCCTGCAAAAGGAGTCAGATATCGGAGAAGGCACTTCCTCAGTATAGGCCAGCCTTGGCTAAGTAATCAGTAGTGATACTCTCGGGGTGTAAGGCCTGTTTTTATTGCTGTGCCAGAATTCCTGGAAGCATGCATATGTGTACCTAAGCAAAACTAAGTAGAGATCATTAGTGCATGTTCTCAGTGATTTATAATGTGGCACTTTCCTTAAATGAGCAGTATCATTTAAGCCTGCCTACATCAAAACCTTCATTGGAGGTTGTAAAATGGATACAATCTGGGAGAATAATCTCCAGTTGTAAAACTCAGGAATCCACACTTTAGAAGCTCTGTAGCTGTGCTGAAACCCAGAAGGGTTAAGAACCCTGGAGAGTGAGACTGAAGACCACTCAGGAAACCGCCCTCCATTTCTCTGTGAAAGGGAGCATTGGGGATGCTCCTTTTAGTAATGGCAGAAATGTAACCGAGTTACTTCAGGGCCTGGTCCATAGTTTTTCTTGAATGTTCAGCCCATTCTTTTATTAATTCAATAATATTTATGTCACCTCTCCTCTCTACCAGACACTAGCCTAGATGCGAGGGGTGAGGCTGTCTGTAGGTTTCTGAGACTCTGCTCAGAGAGCCTGTGTGCAGGAACCTTGCATTGGACAGAGCTTCCCCACTTTCCACCAAAACCACTGCGCGTGCTCTGCCTCTGCTGTGTTTCTAAGAGTTGTACGTGTTTTTCACTCCTTCCTCCCAGTGACCTTTTTTTTTTAAATTTTTTTTTTATTTTAAAAAGAGTAGTGAATGAGGAACAAACAAAGAAATAGAACAGTAGCAGCGTACCAGTATCACAAACATAAACAAATCAAAGCAAGAACATTCAAAGTGATACTGAGGCTCAAGATAAAATAATATGAATCAACAGTGGTTGTTACTTTACATATCGCTATCCTCAAATACATTGCTCAGATTACCAGATGTAAGAATGAAAGATTGCTCAAACCATTATAGGGAATAAGAAAGTAATTCTTCGATAAAGCGGTAGAGATAATAAGGTAGGTATCATCATTACTTTCCTGTAGGGATAAAAAGAAAAAAGATTAGGAAACTGAGAAATAATGAAGCTAGGTAATTTTCCCAGGTTTGCACATTGAGATTAATTGCTCAAAATCAGAGGCTTAAGAAAAATGCACACGTTTACACTTTTTGCCATGATGTTTGGCAACTTCGCAGGCTCCCCTGAGCGTTAGGCTAAAGGCCACTCTCCAGAAGGTAACAACTGCAATACTGTGAACAAATGTGACCCTCTGTCACCATCACTAAGTTCAGGGAAAGCATCTTCTTCTTTTGGACCCTTTTCTTTCTCGGATTTATTTTATTTTATTTTATTTTTGGTTTTTCTCCGGCACCGGGAACCGAACTCACGACCTTGCGCATGCCAGGCAGGCGCTTTTGCTGCTGAGCTAAATCCCCAGCCCCTTTCTCGGATTTATTAATAGTTTTTGTTTTGTTCTGTATTTTGCTACTATATCAATGGACATGTGCCATATTTTTTTCCATTTTTGATTACATACTGAATAATAGATATACTGTGGACGTTTTACTGATTCCTCTTCTCATTTTTTTCTTACTACTAGATTGCCTACTTTCACCCAAATATGACAGATTTTCTCCAGCACCAAGCAATTTTATTTTGACCATATGCATTTTCACTGTTCTAAGGTTTTCCAAGAATGTTGCCATCTAAATGTCTCTACTTAAGATTTGACTTGCTTTAGATATTTATTACAAATTTTATTGGCTTAATCTGCTTATAATATAGCACTAGTCTATATTTGTTTTGATTATTTGGAGATTACTCATTCATGTACTAAGAGTTAGAGTGTGGTTCTGTAAATTTATGGTCTAGATCTCTGGGATCAGGTATTCTTCCAGGTGGCATATGGTGTGTTGTGAGCACCTTCCTTACATGTCTGTGCCACATTAAATATGTATAAGTATATTTTATGCAGCTTAACTTTATGCATATATATCCTTATCTGTACATATATTTAATAATACTGTTACTAGCCAGCTAACAGAAATTTGATTGCCAGTATCTAGATTTCTGTATGTTACGTGTCTAATTAATTACCAGTGGCATATCTATTGACCTGGGTCCAAAGAACCTTATCTCTACCTGGTTATTCCAGTTTAAATTTTCCATAATGTAATTGTTCTACCCCTTTAAATACAGTGTAGTTCTAAAGTGTAGCTTAGCCTGTTGCCGTCTTTAGGAAAGTTGAAAAGAAAAAAAACACAGAGGCAGTATTTTGCATTATATTTCCGGAGCCTTGTCAGTTATAGTAAAGAAGACATTGATCAGATACCTCCAAGGTGCACTCAATTTTATTTCACTTGCATTTTGAGAATTTTGTGTAAGTAAAAGTTTGAATTGGATTTCATTGAGATATTTTCTTGTGTCAGTACTGTTAGGGCTATTTCTTTACTTATATGTTTCTCTGTTAATGTTTTTGTTTTTATTTTATTATTGCCTGTACCCTATTTATTTTCACTTAGAACAGCATATGTCTCTGCTATGTAAAGCTGATGTCATGTCTGAATATGAAAAAAAAACAGTGACTTACAGTATACTTAATTGTAATTAAAATATGCTTGATTGTAATTCTGAGTAGCTTTGCCTGATGACCTGAAGTGGATTCTTCTTTGACCCCTGACTGGATAATTTCTTAATATTCTTCACTATTTTATATGTAACGCCTTTTTTTTTTGGTACCGGGAATCAAACTCATGACCTCAGGCTTTCCAGGCAAGTATGATGTCACTGAGCTATATCCCTGGCCCTATACGTAACATCTTTATGCTAAATAATCTACACAAATATTTTGGAAATCTTTGCTTCACACAGATGTCAGCTGGTAGAATAACTTCAGTGAACCCAAATTCATTTTATCTTTTAGTAGAATTTCCCTAGTATGTTAAGTAGATGTTAAATGCTGAAATAAAGTGACTGAATAATATTTCTTGGGTTAATTTTAAAGATTAAGAGAGTCCAAGTTTGGCAGATATTTCAGTTTTAGAATTGATATATTTCATTCATCTACCGTTAACCTTAACCATTTGGTTCTTTTGCATCTCCTGATATCTCCATCATTGTCTGTCATGGGGGCATCTTTATATTTTCTGACTTAAACATTTTTTAGATTATATACTTCTTTTGTTTTTCTGCCCATATTTTCTAATCTTTTATCGGTAATTTTCTTATTCTCTACTAATAATTGGTAGATTCAGGGTCCTGTCTCCTTGCCTAGAAAACAAAAATCTATACCTTCCATAACCAACAACAGTAGATAAATTATATCATAGATTATTTTATATAAACTCATCATGTTACATAGCAATGATAAGATTAATTTGATGCATTAACTTCTATGAAATAGTATATTTGTAAGAGATCCAACTTGTGGCTTTCATGCTTTGTGGTTGTGCAATAATTTATCTCTAATTTCTGTTTAGGTTGGGCATGTCAAGAGAGGAATCTGTGAAGCTCACTTCTGGACCAAACAATGATGGAGCCGAAGGTAGTTCCGCATGTGGGACCTCTGGCCTTCTGGATTCTTCTGCACAGGCCTCATTGGAAGAACAACAACCCAAAAGCTTGAAAAATCCAGCTTCTCCAGAGCCTGATTTCTGTGCCACACTTTGTCCTATGGTAGAAGTTCCGGCTAAAGATGTAATGGCAGAGTCAGTATCAGAGGATATCTTAATCGCTGAGGAATCTGTGATTCAGGAGGAAATTGCAGAGGAGGTAGAGACGAGTATTTGTGAATGCCAAAATGAAAATCATAAGACTATACCTGAATTCTCTGAGGAATCTGAAAGTTCAACCACCTCCCATGATGAGCCCCAATTAGCACCTCCAGAAGATAACTTGGAATCCTGTGTTATGATGAATGATGTCTTAGAAACTTTGCCTCATATTGAAGTTAAGATTGAAGAGAAATCAGAATCATCCCAGGAAGAAATGTCAGTTGTTATTGATCAGATAGAAGTCTGTGACTCTCTTGTTCCTTCTACTTCTGCTGTGACTCATGGCAGTGATTTAGAACATAAGGAACCAGAAACTGCAGTAGAGACCAATACTCCAAAAATAAAAACAGGGCCATCTTCTCTAGATGGCCAATTTCCAAATGAAGGAATTGCTGTAGACATGGAGCTCCAGAGTGATCCTGATGAACAGCTTTCTGAAAATGCTTGCATCTCTGAAACTTCCTTCTCTTCTGAGAGCCCAGAGGGAGCCTGCACCAGCCTGCCTTCCCCAGGAGGAGAAACCCAATCTACGTCAGAAGAATCATGTACTCCAGCCTCCCTTGAGACAACATTTTGTTCTGAAGCCTCCAGTACTGAAAATACAGACAAATACAGTCAGAGAAATGCCACTGATGAAAACCTTCATACATCTTTGATGTCAGAAATCTCTCCAATATCCACATCACCTGAATTATCAGAGGCATCTCTTATGTCCAACTTACCGCTAACATCTGAGGCATCACCAGTATCCACCTTACCTTTAACTTCAGAAACATCACCAATGTCTGATTTACCTTTGACATCAGAAACTTCTTCAGTGTCTTCCATGCTTCTCACCTCTGAGACCACTTTCGTATCCAGCTTGCCTCTTCCTTCAGAAACATCTCCAATTTCTAATTCTTCCATGAGTGACAGAACGGTGCACCAACAAAGAAAGTCACCTTCTGTGTCTGAAGAAGCACTTTCTCCACGGAAAGATGAACCTTCTGCCCCTGCCAAATCCCTGGGAGAGAACCTTATCTCCCAGCAGAAGCCTCTGTCCAATACTTCTGAACCCATCAAAATGAGTTCTGCCATCACTCCTGAAGTGTTTCCCCCTGAAGAACTACACAGTAAGACCCTGAGTCAGCAGCCTTGTAAATCACATATTGAAATTGAAAAGCCCTATTCTCCATCCATTACAGAACTTCCTGCTACAGAAATGATGAAAGTTAAAAATCACAGTGTCCTGCAAAGACCAGAAAAGAAAGGAATGTCTTCACCATTGGAATTATCTGTCTTTTCTGAAGATCCAGAGAATAAGGGAAATGAGCTTCTGTCAACTGCATTACAGGACAAACAGTATGTCCCATCAGCAGATAAGCCTTCCTTTTCAGAAGGTTTGAGAAATAAAACACATAAGCAAGGGAACACACAGAATCGATTGGAGACCTTACATACTTCCAAGTCATCAGAACCCTCCAAGTCACCCGATGGCATAAGAAATGAAAGTAGAGAATCAGAGATATCAAAGAGGAAGACTGCAGAGCTGCATAGCTTTGGAATCTGTAAAGAAAAGAGAGCTAGGATTGAGGATGATCAGTCAACCCGAAATATATCATCTAGTAGCCCATCTGAGAAGGAACAGCCTCCAAGAGAAGAACCCAAGGTTCCCCCACTCAAGGTATGGTATTACAAAAGCTAGATCCACAGATAGGCTTCCCCCATTTAGAAACCAAAATTTCACGAATAAATAGGAGTTTTCTCTTTCTAAATTTGATACAGCAATTTATAATCTGCAGCATCTGTTCTAATAGAAAAGGATTATTCTAAAACCAGACTTTACACTCACATAAGTTTCAATACGTGTATGTATTTATACATCACTATGTAAATAATGAAACGGGAAACACAGCAGGACCTGAAAGAGCATAAAAACCACTGAGGCACTAATACCTTCAGGATTTCCAGATTGCAAAGGAGTCCCCTATACAATTAGAAAAGATAATTCAGGGTGGAATGACTAGGAAAGGTAGTTAAAACTAAGAGGACAGCTCTACAGAGGGAAAAGTACATATTATTGCTTCATTCATTCCCTTAGAAACATTCAACACCATAATTACTTAGTGGAAAAAACATTAGGACCTGGCTTGTGGTAGAGCCTCATTAAATATTTCCTGAGTAAACTAATAAAATTGACTTATGAGCTTTGAGGGAGAATGTTGTAGATATATAGGTATACACATCGTGTATTTTTGCTTCTAGTATTATTAAAGAGGTATTTAACATCATACCAATAATGAAAAAAACCCCATTTATATACTTCTCTTGATGCCATGTAATTTTAACTCAGAAAACAAACATGTTATATAAATTGGATCTGCCTAAGTAAACTGAAAATTAAGGTTAATTCATAAGAAGCCCTTCCTTTACTTTTTTTAACCTGTCATTTTTATTTATTTGATACTTTTATCTAAGCCCATTTATATTGCTGTACAAGGTGAACTATTCCCCCATCACAGGATTGGTCTAGAATTGCAAACACTGCAAGCTTTTAAAAATATCTTTATTTTGCAAATATGTATATATATATATATATATATATATATATATATAAAATAACACATGATCTCCACAAAGGTTGACTTTTAAAAGTCATAGTTATAATTATTCAATCTAATAGAGCAATGCCTATTAAATAAGACTCTAGATATGTGAAATATCAACATCAGTTCCAATTAAAAACCCACTATACTTTTTAATTTCTGAACCATGAGAAGAAAAATATATGTATATTTTAGATGAAATATTTTAAACATACCATCTTGGATTTCTGGTTAAAAGCTCATTTTAAAAGCAAAATGCACTTTATTTAAAAATAGATAAATTAGGTAGATGATACAGATTCTAAACACATATTTGACGGATAACCTTTGAGCTCTTAAAGAGATTTAGGTTTGATTTTTTTAATGTTTTAGAGAAGGGGAATACTTTAAAAAAAAATGGAATCCATATGCCACATTCATCTCTTCTTGGCTGTGAATTAGGGGTTAGGCTTCATAAGTAGTTTGAAAATGAGAAATGATATAGCTCAGGAAGATAATTTCATCTATCAGATCTCCAAAACAAAACTCTAAATGAAAATGATCCTGTAATATGTGTCAAGTGGTTTTAGTGTAAATGTACATACATTAGGAAGAGAGAGTTTTCTAAGAAAGGATTACATAGATGAGGCTGAAAGGGAGGCAGAGTACCTGTAAATAACACTGAATTTGGACGGTTATATGACCCCAGGGAAAACTTTACCTCCACAGGCTCAATTTTCTTTTTTCATCTGTAGAATGAAGACTTTAATAAGGGCCCTTTTAGCTCCACAAATCTATTACTCTAAGGATGCCCTTAGAGACTAGAGCAGTGATGGCGAACCTAGAGCACACGTGTTGTTTTTCTTTTAAAACAAAAGATGTTAATGTATGAGTCGTTTTTCTAAACTAAAAAATCTCAGTATTCAGGTTTAATTGCAGTGCTGGCACTTTCGTTAAGTAAGTGGGTTTGGGTTGCAGTTCGGGCACTCATCTCTAAAAGGTTCGCCATCTCCGGACTAGAGCATCACAGCACTGTTGTGGCATGCTGGGTGTTGGGTCTTATGCTTCATGAATTCGGTGATGACTTTGTGAGTCTCTTCATTAGCATGATGAAGTGAACAGTGTAGATTGGGACGTGTACAAAATTAAGCAGATAATGAGTTACTAGTATCAAAAGAAACTGCCCAACCCACACTTTCTTTGAGCGGCAGAAAATCAGAATCGCCCTTGCTTTCATGAAAATGTAATGATAATGTAATCCCTTTGGAAAATAGAGCACTCTCGCAAATACAGCCTCATTCCATCTTTATAACAGCGCTGTGAAGGAAATAGACCAGAAATAACTCATTTCATTTCACAACTGAGTTTACAAACTCGTATAGTATGCTTATACATATAAAGCTGCATGCTAGGTGGGATTGGATCACATCACACCTGCACGGTCCTGGGCTCAGAGTCACACAGTTATTTGTTGAGGATCGCAAGATCTCTTTGGGTAAAGCCAGGATGAAAATTCTGGTTTCCCATATTCTTGTACAAAGCTTTCTTCTTTGGTTCAGATTAAGACAGATAAACTCAAATAGAGAAAAGATCTATTTTTTTTTGTATTCCAGTAACAAGGATAATTTAAGAATGAAGTACCTCTGAGGCTTTTTTGCTAGCTGAATTTTAAGAGGCATAGATTTTGTTCCCATTTACATAGAGCATTAAGGTACTTTGTTCCCATGCAGGCGAAGTGGCTGTTGGATTTTTTTTTAATAGATTAAAACCTTAATTTTCACATTCTTGCTATATTTATTGCTTTCTGTCCTCAACACCCATTAAGGAATTGGGCTGTGGTTCATTCCACATGGTAAGAGGAGGCAACTCATCCTCCCTTTGTGTGTTCGCATCCCAGGAGCCCCCTCTGCAGTCACATATGAAATGCATTCATCTTTCCATCCTCTCCTTCTTTTAGATCCAGCTTTCTAAAATCGGGCCACCTTTTATCATCAAGAGCCAACCAGTCTCCAAACCAGATTCTCGAGCGTCCAGTAGCAGCACATCTGTCAGTGGGGGGAGAAACACGGGAGCCAGGACGCTCGCAGACATCAAGGCTCGTGCCCAACAAGCCCGTGCCCAGCGTGAGGCTGCTGCAGCTGCTGCTGTAGCTGCTGCAGCCAGCATCGTCTCTGGAGCCATGGGGAGCCCAGGCGAGGGCGGGAAGGCGAGAACCCTGGCACACATCAAGGAGCAGACCAAGGCTAAGCTCTTTGCAAAGCACCAAGCACGAGCGCACCTCTTCCAGACCTCTAAGGAGACACGATTACCTCCTCTCATTTCCAAGGAAGGGCCTCCAAACTTGGAAGTCTCTTCTACCCCTGAAACAAAAATGGAAGGTTCCACTGGTGTTATTATTGTCAATCCAAACTGCAGATCTCCTAGCAACAAGTCTGCACACCTCCGGGAGACCACCACTGTATTACAGCAGTCTCTTAACCCCACCCAACTTCCAGAAACTGCTACTGACTTCTCTGTACATAGTTCTGATGAGAACATACCCGTGTCACATTTATCTGAGAAAATTGTTTCATCTACCTCCTCTGAAAATAACAGTATGCCCATGCTTTTTAATAAAAATTCTGTCCCCGTGTCTGTTTGCAGCACTGCTATGTCGGCAGCAATTAAAGAACATCCCTTTGTGAGTTCTGTTGACAAATCTTCTGTTCTAATGTCTGTTGACAGTGCAAATACTACAATTTCTGCTTGTAATATAAGCATGTTAAAAACCACCCAGGGACCTGACACTCCATGCATAGCCATTATACCAAAATGTATTGAAAGCACTCCTATTCTGGCCTCCACAGAGGGCGCCGGCATGTCAAGCCCCATGGATGATAAGCCGTTGCTAGTTCCTAGCAGCAGTGCTACTAACTTAGTCTCCAGTCACTACACCTCTGTGCCAACTTCCTCTATTGGAAATAATTTGCCAAACCATCTCTCCACTAGCTCTGTCTTGATTCCCCCAACGGGAATTAGCAACAGATTTCCTTCTGAGAAGATAGCCATGCCTGGGAGTGAAGAACAGGCCACTGTATCCATGGGTAGCACTGTGCGAGCAGCCCTCAGCTGCAGCGATTCTACGGCGGCCACCGACTCTCTGATTGCACGCCCACCCGTCGCCATGTTTACCGGGAACATGCTGACTATTAACTCTTATGAAAGTCCTCCCAAGTTAAGCGCTGAGAGCTTGGACAAAAATTCAGGGCCTCGAAACAGGGCAGACAGTTCCGGGAAACAGCAGCCGGCACCAGGGGCCTTTGCACCAGCAGCCATAAACAGATCGATTCCCTGTAAAGTTATTGTCGACCACAGCACCACACTGACCTCCAGTTTGTCTCTGACTGTCTCCATTGAAAGTACTGAAGCCAGCTTGGACCTCCAGAGCAGGTCAGTGAGGACCGAGGTATCTATACAGCCCATGGCATGTCCTCAGGTGTCTGTTATTAGTAGGCCCGAGTCAGTGGCCACAGAAAACGTTGATCACGGTTCTAGTTTCATTGCTGCTTCTGTAGCCAAACAAGACTGTAAAGCCTTGCAGGCCCCCAGTGCCAGTCTCCGAGAATTATCCCTTGTTCCAGATAAATTAAATGAGGTGACTGCTCCTAGTCATAGCTTTGCTGAACAGGCGTGTAACCCAGCTCCTTTCAAAAGCGAAGCAGACATAGCCTGTAGCAATCAGTATAACCCAGGAAACCGGATTTGCTGGAATGATGATGCCACGAGGAGCACAGGACAGCCTCTGGTTAGTCATTCAGGTTCAAGTAAACAGCAAGACTACCCGGAGCAGAGCTGTCCAAAGGCCATCAAAACTGAGCACACCAGCTACTCCCACGTGTCAGAACTTCACCCCAGGAATCTCATAGCCAATGTCAGTCTTCCTGTGAAGTCCGAATCTCATGAAGTAGACAAGGGCTTTCGAATGGAAACAGAAGACTTCCCTGGCCCGGAGCTGCCACCCCCAGCTCCAGAAGTGGTCTCCAGTGTGCAACAAATGCAGAACGTAAAAGCTTCCACCTCGAGCCCCATGGAAGAGGCGACTTCCTCAGCTCCAGACGCGCTGAAAAGAGTTCCGAGCGCAGGAAGCTCAAGTTGTCGCCTGTCATCCGTGGAGGCTAACAACCCACTGGTGACACAGTTGCTGCAGGGCAACTTGCCTTTGGAGAAAGTGTTGCCACAGCCCAGGTTGGGAGCGAAGCTCGAAATCAACAGGCTTCCTCTGCCCCTTCAAACTACCTCAGTGGGTAAAACAGCACCAGAGAGGAGCGTTGCGGAAATGCCGTCCAGCTCTCCAAATCCAGATTGCAAGGGGTACTTGGCAGGGACACTTGTGCCACCACAGATGAGAAAGCGAGAAAACCACCCCAAGAAGAGAGTAGCCAGGACTGTGGGGGAGCACACCCAAATTAAGTGTGAGCCAGGGAAACTGTCTGTGGACCCAGATGTAAAAGGGGGGCCGTGTGTCATCAGTTCTGGCCTTAGCCAGCTAGGACACAGCCAGCCGTTCAAGCAAGAGTGGCTGAGCAAGCACTCCATGCAGAGCAGAATCGTGCATAGCCCTGAGGTCAAACAGCAAAAGCGGCTGCTCCCTGCCTGCAGCTTCCAGCAGAGTCTGTTTCATGTAGATAAAAATGGCGGCTTCCACCCTGATGCTGGTACCTCACACAGACAGCAGTTTTACCAAATGCCCTTGGCTGCCAGGGGCCCCATGCCCACTGCAGCTCTACTCCAGACGCCTTCCAAGACCCCAGTGGGCTGTAACGTCTTTGCCTTCAATAGGCATATTGAACAGAAGGGACCCGGAGAGGTTAGTCTTCCTTCAGCACCTCACCAGCTAAGACTAGCCAACCTGCTGTCCCCCAACACGCCCATAAAAGAAGGCGAGGTGGGAGGCGCTGTGCACACGATGTCCAGCAAAGCACTTGCCCATCCTCCACTGCCGCCACCGCCGCTGCCACCGCCGCCTCCTCCCCCTCCGCCTCCGCCCCCTCCGCCCTTGGCCTTGCCCCCGCCTCCTCCACCACCACCCCCTCCACTGCCTCCACCTCTCCCAAATGTAGAAGTCCCATCCGATCAAAAGCAACCGCCAGTTACCATGGAAACCACTAAGAGACTTAGTTGGCCGCAGTCCACGGGCATATGTAGCAATATAAAATCGGAACCTCTTTCTTTTGAGGAAGGTTTAAGCAGCAGCTGTGAACTGGGCATGAAACAAGTTTCCTATGACCAGAATGAAATGAAAGAACAGTTAAAAGCATTTGCGCTAAAAAATGCAGATTTCTCTTCCTATCTGCTTTCTGAGCCACAGAAACCTTTTACTCAATTAGCTGCTCAGAAAATGCAGGTGCAGCAACAACAGCAGCTCTGTGGAAATTATCCAACAATACACTTTGGTAGCACGAGCTTCAAAAGAGCAGCGTCTGCGATTGAAAAGTCCATTGGGATTTTGGGAAGTGGCTCCAGTCCCGCCACAGGCCTGCCAGGTCAGAATGCTCAGATGCCCGTTCAGAACTTTGCCGACAGCAGCAATGCGGACGAGTTGGAACTGAAATGCTCTTGCAGGCTGAAAGCCATGATTGTGTGCAAAGGCTGCGGGGCCTTCTGCCATGATGACTGCATAGGCCCTTCCAAACTCTGTGTAGCTTGCCTGGTGGTGCGATAAGAGCAGAGTGAAAGATGCAGTATCCCTTTCAACCTGGAAAAGCCAAACAACATCAGCAACAGCAAATTGAATAGTGCAGTGGCTTATATGCTAATTTATTTTACTCTTGAACAGATTATCTTTTCTCTATAGGATTATTATTTTCGTGCATTTCTCATAAAGCAGAGGATGCATCCCTACTGGATGGCCCAACGGCACGTCTTGTACGTGTGTAGTTACCATTCCCAACTCGGAAAATTGTATGTCTCTGTGTGTATAGGTCACTGCCCCATGTCCCCTTCTTTTTAAGCCAGGTGTAGCTAGGAAAATGACAGTTTAAATTGCCGAATCACCACAAATGCAGGTGTGGAAAGAGAATGATAGCAGTGAGTTAAGTTGGTCATGCGTTTTTCTGTAGATTAGCGATTACAGCAAATGACTTTACACATGACTTCTCTGGACCTACCTTTGCCAAAATGATTAAGTTGTATTTGAAGTGGGGAATCTGATACCTGTATTTACTCGTATCACAGAAGATATATTAAAGGAGGTATGCCATTAATAAAATCCACTGACCCTGTTCTATTTCCTCCCTTCCTACTCTTTCTCAAAGACTGGCAAAAAATCTGGATCTGCTTTGGATCTTATACACAGATTATAGTGAGATGTGACCTGCACCTAAAACTGTAGAATGGGCCTCATATCCTGTAACCTGGATCAAGCCCATAGATACCTGACAATGTATGATCAGTTGGCCAACAGAGAGATGAAGGCCCAGAGGATTTTGGAGAGGATTTTTGTGTCGCTTTTAAGGGCTAGTATGAAAAAAAAAAAGCCCTAAAATTACAAGCAAACAAAGCGCTGTATATGCATGCATAAATGGGTTGATGATGTAAGTATCAGTCATTCTATTCACTCTAATTCAATTACTAAATATTAAAATGGGGAGATAGTAGCCCTTCTTAATGACACCACTGTTTTGTGGCCTTCACCTATGTGGTTGGCCACCTCCTTTTATAAGTGTCATTGATAACAGAAGGGACTACAAAAGGCCGAAGTGTGACATAGTTCAGAACCATTTTTTTTTCCCATGATTGTATATGACTCTAGCCCTTATTTTAAAAATTGCTCTACTATTGCATGTTTTGCTTTGTCCCCCCTCTTTAAATCTGGGAGACGGTACTGCTCTCAGAAAGGGATACTGCATCTTAAAATTATCCTCTGTGTTTATCCAGCATGGTCTGAGTGTCAAGTATTTGAGCTACATTCTGTATATTCCGGCCACCCTCGTCCTGGAGAACAGCTGTAGTTCAAGAAGCTCTGTTCCCAAAAGCAAGTTTAAAAGCACACACATATTGTAGGAAGATGAAAGAAATCCAACCCACGCCCATTTAACTTCACATTGGAGAGCACAAAATGTGGAGTGCCATTAACCCATCGATCAATTGTGGCAGTAGAAAAAGAAAAAAGATGGGGGAGTACCATCTTTACCCAGGGTAAGAATGACAGATACTTTCACATGGGATCACTTGAATCAATATGAACTTTCTGACATTCCCTGAAAACATGTCTTAAAACTTAAATGGAATGAGCATAAATTACATTCCTGAAAGAAACAAAAACACTTGCAATTTTTTTTAACAATAATCACCTATGGCTTTTTTTTTCCCTTCATATTATTGTGATGTTGCCAAATTTCTTTAGGTGACAGTGACATCATTTTTGTTAACTAATTGCTGATAGTGAAAGGTACTGTATCTTAAGAACAGCAAAGAAAGGCCTACCACGTGGCCATGATTCTGTGGTGGTGCTTCAGGATTGTTCTGTTTTTCATATTAACATTAACAAAATTAACAACTGAGAAATTTACTTAACCAGCCCTTCCCCAGAAAAGCCAGCGGATCCTTAGGTAACTGCACACCAGGTTGCATTTGAATGGTGTCCTTAGGAGTGGTGTCTCATGGTCTGCTTGGCTCTGGTATCATCTTAATCTCGAAGATCATCCTCTTAGCCTCACTGTGGGGCACCCCTGTAATATAGACGCTTGCCAACTTCTTCCAGGTTCAGTCGCTGCTATACCAGTGTCAGATACTGTCTACACCAGCAGACTGAAAACTACCGCATCAGTAACTGACACATTTGAAAGCAACTCCAGTCTACAAAACCTTTGTACTCTGTGTGAGGTACAATTGAGGCTTACATGATACTGAGCTCATTGTTGGCTCCATCACGGTTGAATATTGCCTGCAAGTTTCTTTCTGGGAATACGAAAAGTGTCCTTCTCTATGTTTGGATTTTTTCACAGAATAGGTTTGGAGAATCAGTTGTTGATAGTGCATGGATTCTATTGCCCACGTGCAAAGAGCATAATTTTTCTGTGCCCTTGCTCTTTTTTGCCCCATTTCAAATTTGTAGTGTTCTCATATTGTTTCTAGCAATGAAAAAGCTAATATCTAATATCTTTGAACTAAAATTAATGAGAGAAAACAAATTCAAAAGTAAAATGTGGGTGAGGTATATTATGGGTGTCTATATATCTATATCTATATCTGTATCTATATATAGATACAGATATATATATGGTATATATACAAAGCCAGTATATTTGAATTAGGTGAGTAGGTTCTTAGTTTCCTAATTTCTACATGTGTCTGCCTATGTGCAAATAGAGTATGTAATTTACTACTTCATTATTATGTAATGTGCAAATTTCAGTGTGTGCATTACCCTGATTATTGGAAATGATGATATCCCTATCAGGAATAGGACTTGCACATTTAACGTATTTTTCTTTAAATCACAAAGGATGTATTTCCCTAAGCAGCACTTTTGGAGCAGGGGAAGGAAGAAAACTGCTATTCCCTAATCCCCCTCCTCTATGATATGCATATGCCTGAGGTGTATAAAGACATGTAGGTAGTTGATGGGCATGTTAATAAGAGCATCCTGATGCAAATTCATTTTCAAAATGAAAATATTTTTTCCTTCCCCAAAGTGAGAATAGCAGAAATTTTGGTGAATTGAGCACCACAGTTATATATATATTTCTCTGTTAAGATCTAGTTTGAAGAAAAACTTGAAAACAAACCTGTAAGGTTGAGCCTGGTTGCTATAAAGACTTTGTGATAGTGTGTGTTTCTGGGATGAGCTGTAGAAGGTGTAGCTGATTTCTGGACCTTGGATATTCTTACTCAGTTCAAAATAAACATACAGAAACAAGCTGGTGCCCATGGTGCTTTACAATGCAGTCGAGAGTCAAAATCCAGGTTGCTGCAGCCCGATTTCCTTTGCAAACACTCGCACAATTTCAAAAGAGGAAGTCGCTGTGGCCTCTGGTTTCCTGGGCTTCTCAGGGATATGGTGAAGTCCCAGGATTTACCCGCGGAAGCCCAGCTTAGGGGTGCATGTCTCTGGTGTTGAGGCCCAGCACCGCAGCAGCTGCCTGGGGAGTGACCCCAACAGACCGTGCAGAGCTCAGACTCCTGTCCGTCTGTGTTCCCAGAGAACAATGTGAAGAGTCCTAGAACAGGAACTCGTCAGGCTGTCAGGGGCCTATGTAGCCAAAATGTTACTGGATATAAAAATCCTGTTGTCTTCAGTCCTCATGCTTTGTCACTGTAAAGCAAACAAAAAGCATTTTTAATATAATTTAAAGGAGCTGCTTTTTTATAGCACATACTATTTCGCTTTGTACTATATTTGATAGTTGCCGAATAATTTAGACTGTAGAAAAACTTTGTTGTATTTGTACTGTTCATGAATGTTTCAAAGAAAGTGCTTTACTTTGTTGCCATAATTTTCTTGTACTGCTGTATTTTCCCCCAGCTTCAAGGAAACCTGATCTGATTCATAATTTCAGTACAGTTTTTTTTTTTTTTTAATGTGTTTGTGTGTATTTTTTTCTTTTTGGTCAGTATTCTGAATGTTTACATCTGTTTGACATTAGCCATTGAATGCCTTTTTTTAAAAAAAAGGCAGAATTATTCCTACAGTATAACAGCAAACTGTGAAATCAACCCAAACATAACATGCATGGCAAACGAGTGGGGGCAGAGGCCCTGAACGAACATAGACATTTTCTATCAGCGTACAAAAAAGTAAAACCCTCCTTCAGTCCTCTACCAAAGAATATATTATTCCCACAGGAAAAACTGAAAGGTGTGTAAAATCCTCAGAAGGAGGAGCAGTTGATTCAGTAAGACTGCTACAAATTAATACTGTTATGCTTGCTTTGATACCTGACTAAATGTGACCGAGTGCAACAAGCATTTAAAAAAACTTTTAGACAGTGTTTTGTTTAGAATTCAGGGATCATGCATTCTTTAATGGTGCTGTTTGTTTTTTTATTTCTTCTTTTCTACAAAGAAAAAAAAAGTGTTGCCTACAAAAGTGACTGCTCACAATACCGTAAATTAAATGAAATTAAATGTTTGTCTCCCCATATTTCTGTTTTTTCTCTTTCTCAAAGTAACGAGTTGGGTTTCAATATTAAAATATTCTGAAGAAAATAAAGAAATTAAAATGAAATCGAATTGTCATTTTTAATTTAGTAATGAAAGGAGGTAGTTTATATATAATGTACAAATAAGTCATTGAACAGCTTATTAAGAAAAAGGGAAAACAAACTGTATACTGTTAAATTATGCACTCTTATTTTTGGTATGGCGAATTGTCAACATGTGGTTATAACTATTGCTGGAACAGTAAGAACCAAAACAGTAACCTCTGAAATTACTGGTACCCATTGTGCTTCTTGTTTAAAATTATGTTTTGAAGTTTCTGGTTTTCATAAAGATCTTAATTCTTTATATCAAAACACATTAAGGTCAAACAAACTGTTACTACCATATTTAATTTTACCTTTCCAAATGAAAAGAACAGAAAATGATCTTTTCAAGGAATTGTTCTGGTTAAGTTTTTATCCTACATTAAATATTATAGCTAGAGTTATTTGAATAAAACCCTGTGAACCATTAGAACAAAATTGCCTCAGTTATATTTACATAGCTTAAAGAAATATGCATATCTCTTTCAGAAGATGAACCAAAAACATTAAACATAATTGGCTGTTAAGTCTGAGTTTTAACGGTTTTCATCTACGTGGAAAATGTTGTCTTTATCCACCAGATGGCGAAAGAGGATATTTACTTTTGAAGGGGGAAAAAAAACCCTCTTCTTCCTGCAAGAAGTGAAATGATTATAATAATGAAATCCCAACTTATCCAGAAAAATCAGGAGAGCATGGATATTTTTAAGTTTTATTAAATTATTTTCACTACAATAATTATGGTTCTTTTGTGCTACTATTTTTCTATTCACTTTTTAATCCAAATTTTTAATTCTATTTAGAATTGCAGTGTTTTTTTTTTTTGTTTGTTTGTTTTTTTTTTTTTCTTTCTTAAAGTTTTTATGGCATTGCTTCGCAGGCCTCCACAGGCTTTCCTCTGTGAGTCCTAGGTCACTTAGACACAATTATCCATAGTGGATAACTTGGAAACGAAAGGGAAAATTTGGACTAATCATGTCACAGCTAATCTACAGTTCTACACTGAGCAATGAATCTACTGATCTTCTCTGCAGAAAACCTTTTCCAAGTTGTCAATATAATAAATTATCATACTTTTACTGCGTGGAAGATTGCTCCATTTATAAAACAGACTGAATATTTTATCTTATTTCAAGTAATAGCTTTTAAATTTTGCAGCTATATTAAATAATATCCCATTATGATGTCTGACTACAAATAAACGTGATATTAGATATATTTAGTGATTCTGTGCACTATTGCCTAATCCTAACCAATGTCTGGCAAATCGAGAGACGGCCCTGCAATAAACCAGTGAAAACTGACTGAATATCAGTCTATCAATGAGAAAGCCCCAAGTCTACTTTTGTCAGGGGTTGAGATTTGCATTTGGTACATTCATTGCATTTACAAAAAAAATTATTTTAAGGTACTTTTCTTAAGCAAAAATTACCATCTATAATTTTTAAAGAAAATCATCTACACGTGGTTCAGAGTGAACTTTCACCCAGTGGGATAAAAAAGGAGTTGCCTCTTTTGGTTTTTCCAGATAGTCCAGTGGGTGCTCTCATAAACTTCAGTGGCTGCTCCTCACCCAGCTGTGAACACAGGTGCCTGGAAAGGTCACAGGTAGTTGAAGACTACATAAAGTCTATTTCATTTTCTGTAGGTTTATCTTGTAAATGAAAAACATACCTGTAGCTTCAAGTTAGGGTTTTATTTCAGGAAAACATTGCATTCAGAATCCTCATTCTTTACTGATTAGACAATACAAGGAATTTAGAAGAGTACAGAGCTGATGTTCTATTTTGTTGATCTGTTTGGTTTTCAGTACCCAACTTGGGATGTAATAGCGTCTTTCAGATCTAGAAAAGTGTGGCTGGCCTCAATAACTGTAGGAAACACTTGAGTTGCTCCTGGATATATGCTCCTCTTATAGAGGCTGCAAGATTTATGAGCGTTGTGAAGAAATGAATTAATTGTTAATCTAAACTTCATTTTCCAATCAGTTCAAATTTCAGCATGTGGAATTGAAAGGCTTGGAGTATGAGTGGGGGCAATTCCCTATGATAGCTTCGAAGCTGAATCTGCTAATGCATTACCCGTATTCCTCTAACCTGTAGTTTAATATAGTTTTTTGTTGTTGATGTTGTTTTTTCAGCATTATATGTGGAAGGTGGTACAGCTTAACGGTAAAAGTGCTTGCCTAGCATACAAAAGCCTTGAGTTCAATCCCTAGTACTGAAAAATAATAAAAATTGATTTTGTAAAAGTTAGTAGCATATTAAAGTAATATTTGTGGTCCCTAATGTCCTTGGTAGTCATGGACATTTTAATATTTTTAAAAAAATCAATGCAATACATATTTCTATATTAAAAATAATATAATATTAGAGAGTATAGCAAAAATATCACAGTGCCTTGATATAAATTGCAATGTGAGATATTAAAAATGTTTTCAAGAAGCAGATCTTGCTTTTGACTTCATATTACTCAATAGGGTTCAAATCAGAAAACAAAGAGCTCATCTTGCACGTGCAAATTACAAGCTTGGATTGAAGTAAGGGACCCTATAAATATCTCATCTGGTATAAATGTCTCATCAGTGAGAACTGAAAGCTTCCCACCCTGCTAGTAATCACAGAAAGGAACAATTCTTGGCATTAGGGGAAAATGCAGCCACAGCATCAGGATATATTCTGTCAGAGACGAACTTTACCTGTATTGATATTTTCCCGGGTAAAACTTGCCTTTTGAAGCGAATTGTACTGCTCTATCAATTCCACAGTGGCAGTCAGGAGTGTGAGTGGGGCGCTAGTACTGCACAGAGGGTCCTGGTCCCCGGCACCCCGTGGTCTGTATTGAGCAGTGTGCCGTCAGGCCACGCAGCTCAGAAAGCGCGGCTCTGAGACATTCACATTT